CTGAGGCTGGCTGGGTGAAAGCAGGTATCTGGGGTTTGTTTGGCTTCTATAATTGAAACATTGTTGCTTACAGTGTAGCTTAGAGCCCAGTCGAGGCAAGCGGGGAACTTGGCTTCCTCCATCGCTGGGGCAACCAAGCCTCATGTTCACTTCAGTTGTGTGGCTGCCAGCTGTTATCTTGGTTGGCAGTTAATTTGCATATCACCCTGATTAGCCAATGGGAAGCATAGTGGAGGTATGGTTAATTACCATGTTTGTCTATTATTAGATAGGATGTTTAGCATAGAGCCTAAATGCAGAAGTTGCTCAATAGTTAATTACATAGGCATTTGGATCTTGGGAGTAGAACTTCTGGGTCATAGATCCAGATTCTATTGAGTCAGTAAGTAATGACTGAGCCTGCTTAAGTACCAGGCACTGTGTTAGTGCTAGAGGTGCAATGATTGATTATGACAATAGTCACTGCCTCTCACCTTCCAGAGACAGTGACTATTGAACACAATTATGTAAATAAGTGATAATGTGATAGAGGCCTTAGCAGTCCAGTCAAGTAATGATAAGGACTTGAACTAAAGAAGGGATGTGGTGACAGAAAGAAGGCAATTAATTTGATATTGTAGAGTCACCAGGACTTGATGTGAGGATGAAGGCTGAGCTCTGGCCAGGAAGTCATGCACAGAATAGAGGAGGCAATTGAAGTCTTGCAAGTGGCTGAATTCACTGAGAAAGGAACACAATAGAAAGAGACCTCATTTGAGGACAGAGCCCTAGTTAAGAGACAGGAGGATAATTAATGTTGCAAATATACATTTACATAAAACACATTGTGCTATAAAGATTTCCTGTACTAAATTTGTATTCCTGCACTTATTAAACTAACAGGTTGGTGTGTGTTTTTTCTCTTCCCATTCATGAAGGACAGACCCCAAGATATATGCACAAGTTGACTAGTTTCTTACAAAAGGAACAGTCTTTTTAATTTCAAAGCAAATTGAGATTAACTGGCTCAGCTTCTTAGTGTAACAAAATTCAACCACTTAAAGTGTGCAATTCAATGGTTTTTTATATGTTGTATTATATTTTTTAAGTTTAATAAAATACTTATCACAGAAAATTTGCCATTTTAACCATTTTTAAGTTTATGTTCAAGTGTCATTAAGTATATTCACAATGCTGTGCAATCATCACCACTATCTATTTTCAAAGTTATTTCATCACCTCAAACAGAGACTCTGTGCCCATTAAACAGTAGCTCCTCATTCCCTGCCTTCCTCCCTGGGTAACTTCTAATCTACTTTTTGTCTCTGTGTATTGAATTTGCCTATTCTAAGGTACCCCATATAAATGGAATCATGACATATTTGTTTTTTGTGTCTGGCTTATTTAATTTAGCATACTGTTTTCAAAGTTCATCTATGTCATAGCATTTATCAGTTACTTCATTTGTGTGATTGAACAATATTTCATTATATAGGTATATCACATTTTTAAAAATTCATTTATTGATCTATGGATATATTTTTTTCCGTCTTTAGGCTATTGTGAATAATGCTGCTATGAACATTGATGTGCAAGTATCTGTTTGAGTTGCTGCTTTTAATTCCTGTGAGAATACACCGAGGATTAGAACAGCTGGGTCATACAGTAACTTTATATTAAGCCCCTTAATTTTATAGACAGATTTACTCCAGGACCTGCAGACGGGTCATCTTGCTTTATAACTTTTTCACCAGTGTTACAGTTCATTTTCTCAAAGGGAAATGCCTTATTCATGCTTATTCAGTATGGTCAGATGACTACCTGCAGTGCCTGTTAAAACATACATGGTAGCATTCAACCACTGATCTATAGACTCAGAATTTCTGGGGGTTTGGCCAAGAACCTGCATTTATTTACCCATTCATTCATTCATTTATTTAAATATGTTTTTAATTTTTGAGAAGAACGGAGGGAGGGACAGAGGGAAGGAGGGAAGGGGAGAGAGAGAAAGAGAGAGAGAGAGAGAGAGAGAGACATTGATTAGCTCCCTCCTGTACATGCTTTGACTGGGGATTGAACTCGAACCCTGGTCATGTTCCCTGACCTAGAATCAAGACAGTGACCTTGTGGTGCATGGAACAATCCTTAATCAATTGAGCCACATAGGCCAGGTCAGAATCTGCATTTTTAACAAATTTTACTGTTGATTTTCATGCACACTTAAGCGTGAGAACTACTTTGAATGGACAATTCAACAAAGGCAGACTGATTCAAAATTTTAAGCTGTTGAACTCTATCACTTATATAACAAACTGACATTAGGAATGTATACAGAAGGAATCAGTTATTCTGAGGTTCTCTTTAAAGAGTTTTTCTTCTGCCTCAGGAGTTTTTATTTTGTAATGAATTAATTTCTGATAAGATACTATCTACTTGATTGCACATCATTTTATTAACCATGATCACATTCCAATCATCTATCTAATCTAATAAAAGAGAAACATGCAAATTGACTGCACCTCCGCTACACCCCAAGCCATGACCACCAGCCAATCAGAGCAACTATATGCAAGTTAACCCAAACAAGATGGCGGCTGGAAGCCATGGAGCTGGAGCAGGTAGGAGACTTGGTTGCCCCAGTGATGGAGGAAGCCAAGCTTCCTGCCTGCCCTGGCCAGCTGTGGCCTCTGCTCAGGGCAACAAAGTTTCAATTATAGAAGATAAATAAATCCCAGATAACTGCATTCAGCCAGCCTCCACTGGGAGCTTGGGTGGCTGGGGGCCGTGGCCAGCCTGCACACAGCCATCAGCCCCTCACCCAGGATGACCACACCCTCATGGGGTGAGGGTCCCCGCTGGGGGCTTGGCCAGCCTGCAAACAGCCGTCAGCCACTCACCCAGTCTGGCCAGGCTACCCTGAAGGGGCTGTAGCCAGCCTGCAAACAGCCATCAACCACTCACCCAGGCTGGCCTGGCACCCCAGCAGGACCCTCCTTCCTGAAGGGGGTGTGGCCAGCCAGAAAATGGCCCTCAGCCCCTCACCCAGGCTGGCCAGGTACCCCAGCGGGACCCCCACTCTGATCCAGGACACCATTCAGGGCAAACCAGCTAGCCCTCACCCGTGCACCAGACCTCTATCTTATATAATAAAAGGGTAATATGCAAATTGATCCTAACAGCAGAAAGACTGGGAATGACACACATTGACCACCAGGCAGCAGACGCTCAATGTAGGAGCTGCCCCCTGGTGGTCAGTGCAGTCCCACAGGGGGAGCTGTGCTAAGACACAAGCCAGGCTGGTGGCTGCCAGTACAACGGTGGTGGTGGGAGCCTCTCCCGCCTCCTCAGCAGTGCTAAGGTTGTCCGACTGCAGCTTAGGCCTGCTCCCTGCTGGCAAGTGGACATCCCCCGAGGGCTCCCGGGCTTCCAGAGGGATTTCTGTCTGCCAGCTTAGGAACGATCCCCCGGGGAGCGGGCCTAAGCCAGCAGGTAGTCATCCCCCGAGGGGTCCCAGACTGTGAGAGGGCACAGGCCAGGCTGAGGGACCCCCCGAGTGCACAAGTTTTTGGGCACCAGACCTCTAGCCCTATCTAATAAAAGAGAAACAGGAGAAAGAAGATGGAGGCGATATAGGCAGACGCATCCCAGGTCCTGTCCCGGAGCAAATGGAGTGAGCAGCTGAAACTAATAACACCCACCCCGAATTGGCGAAATTGCTCATCTGGTGAGACAGTTTGCAGCTGGGAAGGGCAGAACTCCCCTGGAAAGGTAAAAAAAACCCAGGGATTTGGGCAGGAAAGTTTGC